TCAGAAGGCCCTTTGATGGTCGTGCACGCAGGCATGGATCAAATGAGTTGTGAACGTCGATCAGGTGCAAGGTGTCTAGTTGTAATCAGATTTGTTGGGTCTTTCCTGTCGGCGATGCAGCACGATGCGGTAAGTTTTTGCACCGCGTTTTCCCAAACCTGTAGCGTTGAGGGCATAACAGGTTCTTCTGCGTTGTTTAAATTTCTGCTGGTTTCATCTGCTCGACCTGGCGGCGGAAAATGAGATGAGAGACGCGGCAGGGGATGGGTTGAAACGAATTTCAGAGAGCTTCTGGGCGTTAGGGAGTCTGTAGATTGGCTTGAGTTTTTGAAGGACAAGGATCACACGTGCATGCGTTGTTTGTGGACAAGGATACAAACTCGAAATAAGATTTTGCTGACGTCGTCGGTCGGGTGGAACGGAATGCGTCGCGATTTCCCGAACGACGTGATACATATATGGATGTTTTTTGGATGTTTCCAGTGACGACGGGTTATAGAGCTAGTTAGGGTAGGTGATGACGTGTAACCAGTCAAATTGTCTTGTATACGAAAATGGTTTGTTGCTTGGGCCGGTTTGAGATGATCGATGCGGCCTGTGGTTGATTGCATGGGGTGCTCGTGTGTTTCTTAATGGTGTAAATTTCTCGCTGTTGGTGCTGCGGCTGGCTGCTTGGAACTGGTTTGTGCTCAAAAGAGCATGAAGATGGGAGACGCGGATGGATTCATTTGCTGTTGCGCTCGTGCTGCCACGGACCCATGTCTTGTGATGGCCGAGCTGTTTTTGGTGGTATATCTTCATTGTTGTCCTTACAGTATGCGTTTTTGTCTACTCTCGCGCTTACGCTCTTTTCAACGACTCGTGCGGGCTTACGTCGTATGTATCTCGTGCTTTTTTACTGGTCGTTATGCTTCTGCATGAAAAAGTAATTTTCTTCTATTGTTCACGGGTGGACGTGGTTGTCAGGTACTCGGTTTCTGCTTGTTGGTTGTTCGTGTCCCGTCGTTGCCCTCTCTCTTGTCGTTGATCGCTTGCCGCTCTCGTGGCTCTTTTATCGCTTTCGTTGGTACGTGCTTGATTTATACTGCTGTGCACCATTTTTTTTTCTGGAATATATTCACTACAAAACACACGGCTGTGACCGGGGCATCTACGCATGTCCCGTTATTTGTCCATGTGAACAACGACTATCACGTGGATCCCCATCTTTTTCCCTCGGCGAAGCAAGTGCGCCCGCATCCATAAGAGGACTCATTCGCCGCGCTCCACGCATCCTAGAGTGAGAGATTCACCTGTAGAAGACAGGGCGTTCTGAACACCAGTAGACTACCCACCCTGCCCTACCGGCACGAGCAAGGTGAAGCGGTACCTGCTTGGCGACTAGGCACGCCTCTACCTACCGGTGTCCGCCGCTGCTGTAGTCGAAAATTAGTGTGGGGGCGTGTAGTGCAGTTGTGAGCACGCAAACGTGCTGCAGGGACTGTAGGTGTACCTCCTCGGGCTCAAGTACCCTAATCTTGCTAACATACGTGGTTCTTTATATCTTCTGATCGCTCTAGCAATGTTGTGACCACGGACCGAGTCTTCGCTCGACTTTTGGGATTAGCAACTGACACGAGTAAATAATGTGAAGAAAACAACAACAGGAATCGACTTCGTTTTCGATATTTCGCATATCATCATTATACCGCTTTTTATGGCTCTACAATGTTGCAAGAAAAGTTGCAAACTTGTGCTGCAACTTTGCTCGGGAACTCTCAGTAACATTTTTCGTGCATGCTCATTACGGGACGAAGAAAGTTTGAGGAGTGGCCAAAATCGGGTACACCCGGCCCCAATTCGACCATCATCGGGTACACTTGTTTCACAGTCGGCAGCGCCCTCCTGGCGCCATGTAATAGGCCGACGCCCGCCCTAGCCGGCCCTGACCCTATTTCCACCGGGTGCACCCGATCTTGGCTACTCACCGCCCGGAGGGGTACCCGATCTTACTCTCGCCTACCCGAAAATGGCTGGGCTACACCCGTCGCCAATCGGCTACCCCTGCAGGGATCCGGGGGAGAACCTCATACAGGATGCCAGATTTGGCACCCATACACGGTACCTTGTCAGGGCAAGGCCTACCAACCATGGCAGGGTGAGGCCGGCTGTGCACCTTGGGGGGGGTGGGGGGGTACTCTTATTTTTGCATGTCTTAGCGGTTAGACCATTGACCACGCGTCCTCGAGAGGACGGAGCATTGTTCCCACAGGACAGATCACCGATGGCCAATCGTTCCTCTCTACTTTGCCAAAGCTGGCTCAAAAATGTCTTCCCTAGTCTGTCTATCCTAACGATATCCCTTCCCGCCTTTTCAACCCACCTCCTATGCCCCACTACAGCTACCGTCCTTTCCTCTCTATTCCATGCCTCAAACATCTCCCTGTACGT